TCTGTGTAATTATTATTATTATTTTTAAAGATTTTATTTTTTATTTGACAGAGAGAGACACAGCGAGAGAGGGAATACAAGCAGGGGGAGTGGGGGAGGGAGAAGCAGGCTTCCCGCGGAGCAGGGAGCCCGATGCGGGCTCGATCCCAGAACCCTGGGATCATGACCTGAGCCGAAAGCAGACGCTTAACGACTGAGCCACGAGGCGCCCCTCTGTGTAATTATCTAGCTACCTTTTTATTTGTTGTACTTTGCTTATGTTCAGTACACATATTTTAAATCCTAATTTACACAGATAAAGCCTATAAGATGAAAAAAAATTGTCCATGTGCTCTAAGTAGCTTCCTGAATATTTCATGGTTTTACAAAGATATTTCAGTTTTTTAATTGAAATGAATTTTGGAAGTCTTGCAGTCTATTTCTTTCTCATTGAGCAATTAGTCTATAACATGAATTATTTTTACTTCCTGAGCTTGTTTTCCAATTACCAGAAAGGCCATTTATTCATTAATTCACATGTGCATCAATCAGATATAGTATTATGCACAATATGTTAGGCTTATAATTTTAAAAAAGTAGATTTCCTGGTCACTTATTGTTCTAACAGTTTCTGGAGTTTAGTATTCATTTCCAGAAGAACTTTAAGAGAGTAATGTGCTATCCCCTTCATTTTAATGGCTAAAAAAGCAGAGTGAAAGCAAAAAAAGATATATTGAACAGTTCAATCATTTACCAAGCACTTACTCTGTGTTAGATTATGTTAAGCAAGTCACATACATTACATAATATAATTCTTAAAGACAATCTGAGTCAGGTTTTTACATATGAAGTTAACTATGGGACAAATTAAAGTCCCAAGTCTTCACACCCAATAATTGATAGAGGGGATTTAATATAGGACCAATTAAATGGAAAATGGACACTCTTAACTGTCATGCTGAGTAGAAGCTCAGGAAGGAGGTTTATGGTGACATAGCAGGGAAATTTTCCTGTTAACAATTCAAATTACACAAGTTCTTGTTTGCACATGAGCTTTGGCATAAAAGTCCCAATTACTAAACTGTGGACCTAGCAAATTAACTTGGCTTTCTTTTTAATTTTTAAAAGCAGTTTTGAGTTAATTTCCAAAGTTGGTATTTATTCAAAAAATTTAAATTAGCTAATGCTTTTGCATTTAAATTAACTTAAAACTACCTAATTAAATTACTGCCCATGAAATAATAAAGATTTAAACAATTCTAGGGCAGAATCTCATTTTGGAATTTCTATGTAAGATTTAAAATATTTGATATAGGAATAAGCAGGAGGAAACAGCTGATTCTAGAACAGTACTTTATGCTTTCTGCTTCATTTTGTCTATAGTCAAAGAAACACAAAAGGTGCATTCAAACCTACAACTGACCTTGATATCCACTGTCCAGTCCATCCTATAAAATAATTTCATCCAATACCCTTTAATTCATTTATTCTTTGTTCATTCGAGTATAAGTATCTTTAAAGCTCCATGCATACCAGGAGAGACCTAGAATACAACAATGGGTAGGAGCAATGAGCCTGCCAGCAGGACACAGGTGAATGGAACGAGACAGGCTAGAAGCAAGCACTGTCGCTGTGCAGAGTGCTAGGGTGGAAGGTGTCACCAGGATCCACGGGAGCAGAAAGGAGGAGGCGTTTATCCTGGAGCAGAGTGCTCAGGCAAAACTCCTAAGACGTGACCATTCAGTGGAAGCATTATTAAGAGTTTTCCAAGAAGGCAAGGAGAATAGGGCATTCCAGGTAGAAAGTACAGTGTGTGCAAACAGAGGAGGCAAGAAACAGCATGTGGTCGTTAGAAAACACAACAGTTGAGCATGGCTGGTATGAGATAGGGGAGTGGGGTGGGCAGAAGAGGTAAGCAAAGGAGCAGTTTTATGAGCTTTGATTTTCCATGCCGGGAAGCCAGAAGTTTGCCAATAGACACTGTAGAGCTTGTTCTGTGAGGTCCTTTACCATAACCATTTTCATAAGGGTTTATGAATTTAATTCTTTAAATTCAACTGTGATAAACCCTGTTTGTTGTCGGAAATGGCAGTAACTTACCCTCTGTGTTTCAGTGCTCCAAAATGTCTGTTACTTTGAAATGGATTAAATTTAACCGGCATCATGGGTGATTGTTTCAGCCAACAAAGGAGGCTAATACTAAGAATACTGCAGGTGAGTTGGAGAAAAAATCTCCTGCAATCAAAAAGCTCTTTCCCTGCTCAGTGAAAAGGCAGTATGAATTTCTAATCCAGGACTCCTCTCATTGCCGCTGAAAAGTTGGTGCCTCCTGAGGCACACCTTGACTAACCTGACATACGCCATATTTGTTTTCTGACTTTTTCATACGAGAATTAATCCCAGGCCACCAGTGGTAGATCCAAACCAAAGGATTCATGGAAACAACTCAGGGATGAACTGCCCGTGGTGTGAAGAAGGTAACATGGCCTAGCCATCCTTCCAATAACAACCTGATCTTCCCATCAAACGCACTCTTTGTGAACACATTTCCAATGCTTGTGGATTAATGACTCTTCAACCATTTCTCCCCAATGGACAATTTATACCTATCTTAGAACAAGAGGTAATCTGGAATCCCACCCAGGTAACAATATTCTGTGATCAGCTGAGGTGGCAGGGCAGGATCATTTTCAATATCAAAATTTATACCAGCAATGCCACCATATAATCTGGAATCTGGTGGTGAAACAAAGTATAAAAATCATGATAAATCAACTTCAAGAACCTAACAATAACACATCTGGTTCTGCCACTTAACCATCTGGGTTCCTGGGGTAGGTCACTTAACGTCTCCTGGTCTGTAAAATTAGGGATGCTAACACATGCCCATAGGTATTTGTGAAAATTAAACCCAATAGCATCTTTGGTATGGAGGGCTTTCCCATCAATTCATTGCGTTCTTTCTCTCCCTGTCCTGGGATATGGTCTTAAATAAGATGGCAAACCAACAAACAAAAAAGGTAGAAATTTGATTGCCACCCGCATTAAAAGAGAAAATCAACATGAGCAAAAACATGGATTGTTTTTCTAATAGATTTTTCTTGAAGATTCTGAAAGATCTAAATCCGCCTTCTCTTATGCACAAAAGGGAAAAGGGAGAGAGGGAAGCAAAGAAAAGACACCAGAGAAAGAAAAGACACCAGTTCTATCATGAGTGGACTCTGAACGGATAAGGAACTACATGGGGAAAACAGTCCTTTCATCACCTTTCGTCACTTCCACAGACCCCTGGTCTGTATTTGATCACTAACATAGCCCACACTTAAAACAAAGTAGAAACCTAATGGCAGAAACCTAACAAATAGGATTTGAACGAATAAGTTAATGAAGAAAAGGAGGAAGAAAGTTAAGGGGCGCCTGGCTGGCTCAGTCGGAAGAGTGTGCGACTTGATCTCAGGGTCGTGTGTTTGAGCCCCACATAGGGTGTAGAGATTACTTAGATAAATAAAATTTAAAAAAAAAAAGAAGAAGAAGGGAGGGTAGGAAGGGAGCAGAAAAGGGGAGAAGGAAAGAAGGGAGGGAGAGAGGACAGACTGATTGTGAGATCCATGCTTGGTCAGGTGGTCAGCCAAGGATATTCTTAGATTTTATCCGGCTAAGAGCTAGCAAAGAGTTTTAAGCCAGTGATTTAGGAAAATGCAAAGGACACACTGAAAGGTAGGAAGGCTGAAAGCAGGCAGAAAGTCCATATCCTGGAAAGAAAAAGCAGAAGCTTCAACAAGGCAGTAGCTGTGTGAGAGTGTGTAGAGCTCTTATGTAGAGGGCACGCTCAACAGGACTAGGTAATGTCACTAATGTGTACCAACAGCTTCATCCGAGAAAGGCGACTGGTTTCACAGCCACCTGGCATTTGGGGCTTCCGCGGAACACCAACATCATAAAATAAAAAGTCCGCAGTGAGTCAAAGTGCTGTGTTTACAGCAACAAACTAGAAAACAGAATCCAATATAATAGTTTGATATTATGCATATTGAAGTGTTTTATGCTACAAGTCCGACTCCATGAGACATCCTTCTAGCAGATTATACAGTGCCTTAGCAGAGGCTGGCTTTCAGAGAATAAAAGTAAAGCAGAAATTATTTAGTCCCTGCAGCTGTCTGAGTGATATCAAACTCTCCTAACGCCCCGGGCCGCCATTTTGAGTTCAGATTCGGCTGTGGGTCAATTAGTTCACCTCTGTGATATGGGGAAAGATACAAAAAAGCCGATTTTGAGATTCAAAATAGAGAATTAATGCATTCACAGAAAAACGTGTAGCTTTATTTGTTCCATAGTTGTGCCTGGATTAAATCAAATTTGAAAGAGGGCATATGTTTAAGTCTATGGTTTTCTTCTAGTGAGGCAATGTCCCTGCATTGCAAGAAAATACTCACTAATCCTACTGAACACTATATTTATTTAGGCTCAATGAGTATTTTAGGTATGTTATTCCTAGTTACAATCACTTATATAGGCTTATTTCTCACAATCTTATACATGTAGCCTAAAATACTGCCTTCTTTTATAGAACACCAATTACTGTGAATAATTCCCATTCAATTGTGGAATACAGCATACACTTCATTAAACTGCCCTGCAACAGAGCAGCTCCTGACCATGTTTGGTATAGTTGGAGTACGGAATTAACATTTCAAGTTTATCTTTAAAAAATGGAGACATGTTCAATGTTATAAAGTATGAAATACATTAGGGATGAGTACTAAATAACCTTCAGTACATGCATTTGTAATGTCCTAAAACATAATATTATTATTGTTATCAGTTATATTATTGTTATCAGTTAGTAAACAGTTATGGCTATGAAGGTTTGCTTTTTAGTGACATGTATCATGGAAATGACAGTTAATGCACATTTATGTCTCATCATGAATCCGGACCACAGCCAGATCTCCTACTCTATCCAAACCCTGTTTCCTTGTGAAACTTGAATTCAGTTACATGGTGTGTCGGACTATGTGTCTCACACTTACACTCATGTTGCTTTGATCTCACTGTAAACATTCACTGAGTCATTTTTCCCACAGATTAGCATCTCCAAACGGAATTCAATACCTAAAGGTTCGAACAGCAATACCACATCATATCCAAGGGAACAACTTAATGATATTTCATTAATCTTCTTTTAGTAATTTTGTAGCAAGAGACAGGATAAAAATAAAACTTACCACCACAATATATCGAGGTCTGTACTGAATGGTTCCAAACAAACCCAATATGACGACTATTATATGCAGAAAATTTCCAAGAATTGGTGCCCACTGGAAACCAAGGAAGTCAAAGATTTGCCTCTCCAATGCTGAGAGCTAAAATAAAGCAAAGAGAATCCATTAGCGTCTAATCCAAGCATCATCACACCATTTTAATATTTATTTCATGCCTAGAGAAGTCTCCATATTCAATCACACTTATGGACATCATCATCACTAGAGCTGTGACACCCATTTCATGTACTGTTTTATGCAACTTCTTTCTGAAAATATGCTAAGATAACTTTGAAGTTATAAAGAACAATGAGATCTTTTTTCTTTTTTTTTTTATTCTTATGTTAATCCCCATACATTACATCATTAGTTTTAGATGAAGTGTTCCATGATTCATTGTTTGTGCATAACACCCAGTGCTCCATGCAGAATGTGCCCTCCTCAATACCCACCACCAGGCTAACCCATCCTCCCACCCCCCTCCCCTCTAGAACCCTGTTTGTTTTTCAGAGTCCATCGTCTCTCATGGTTCGTCTACCCCTCCGATTTCCCCCGCTTCATTCTTCCCCTCCCGCTACCTTCTTCTTCTTCTTTTTTTTTTTCTTAACATATATTGCATTATTTGTTTCAGAGGTACAGATCTGAGATTCAACAGTCTTGCACAGTTCACAGTGCTTACCAGAGCACATACCCTCCCCAGTGTCTATCACTCAGTCACCCCATCCCTCCCACCCCACCCCCCACTCCAGCAACCCTCAGTTTGTTTCCTACAATTAAGAATTCCTCATATCAGTGAGATCATATGATACATGTCTTTCTCTGTTTGACTTATTTCACTTAACATAATACCCTCCAGTTCCATCCACGTCGTTGCAAATGGCAAGATCTCATTCCTTTTGATGGCTGCATAATATTCCATTGTGTATATATACCACATCTTCTTTATCCAGTCATCTGTCGATGGACATCTTGGCTCTTTCCACAGTTTGGCTATTGTGGACATTGCTGCTATAAACATCGGGGTGCACGTACCCCTTCGGATCCCTACTTTTGTATCTTTGGGGTAAATGATGAGATTTTAAACCTATCTGGAGAGCTTGACATATACTCCTTAAATCATTTTCTCAGTAGAAAATCCCGGCAGATATTTTAGAGTATCATATTCTGTGATATGAGTTCATCCATTTCTTAAAAGAGATTTTATTTATTTATTTGAAAGAGAGTGCACAAGGGGGAGGAGGGGCAGAGGGAGAAGCAGACTCCCTGCTGAGGGGGTAGCCTGACATGGGGCTTGATCCCAGGACTCTGAGATCATGACCTGAGCCAAAGACAGCCGCTGAACTGACTGAGACATCCAAACACCCTGAATTCATCATTTTTTTAAAAGATTTTATTTATTGGAGCGCCTGGGTGGTTTAGTAGTTAAACATCTGCCTTAGGCTCAGGTCATGGTCCCAGGGTCCTGAGATGGAGCCGCACATCAGGGCTCCGTGCTCTGCGGGAAGCCTGCCTCTCCTTCTCCCACTCCCCCTGCATGTGTTCCCTCTCTCGCTGTGTCTCTCTTTGTCAAAAAAATAAATAAAATCTTTTTAAAAATTTTAAAAAAAACGAAGATTTTATTTATTTATTTGAGAGAGAGAGAGAGCATACAGAAGAAGGGGGATGGGGCAGTGAAGGAGGGACAAGCAGACTTCCCACCGAGCAGAGAGCCTGATGTGACTGGATCCCAGGACCCTGGGATCATGATCTGAGACTGAAGGCAGATGCTTAACTGACTGAGCCACCCAGGCGCCCCCTGAGTTCATCATTTTTTTAAGTAAAATGATTGGCTTAGTATAACACACTAGAAAAAAATAACTACAGGCTTGAATGCTAGAACTGGTATATGATTTTGGAAAACAAACAAAAACCCAAATCTCCTACTTACGCCTGCCTTCTTGTAAGAAACATAAATTACCAAATATGTTTGGTTTCTTTACTTTCATCAGTCCATCACTGATGATAATGACTAACCACTTTTTCAAAATGAAGCTTACTGATTTATTTAGCTCTGGGCTCAAGGCTCCCATGTAAAACTAAGTTAAGTAATTCCTTTGGATCATATTTTATTGAGATCATATACATACATGAAAATTCATCCTAGATTAGGCAAAATCCATTTTGAATAGAGAATTAAAAATTACGGGACCATTACAATTGTAGACATGCCACAGTTTATTACATTTGCATTATATACAATTACATTTTAATCAATTATACAATGTATTAAAATATACACTTAAATAATTTGTGTATGGTTGATGAAACAGATAAATTTCATATAGTCCAGTGAATGCCAATAATGTCATTATCATATTAAAATGATATTTATTGTTTTCTATATCTAAACATTTTATAGTTCCACCTGCTGTATTTGGACACCAATTTTACACACTTCAGGCATTTTTCTAGATTTACTTTGATAAAATAGTAATTCTAATAAAATGATCCAACGATTAGCTATGTTGATGGCACTAGAAACCGCAGATTTGAAATGAAAATGGTACCCTAGGTATTTTTTTAGTTATGTGGCAGGTGTATGCCTGAATAGCTTTAATTTCCTTGGACATAAAGAAATGTCCTCCATCCAGAAAGCTGAATTTACCTTGGTTAAAATTCACCTTCAGCAAGCTGTGGAGAAGAGAAACGATCAAACGCCTAAAGAGAACCACACCAGAACCACATTCATTTCATGGGCATTTCCTGATCATCAAGTGATCTGTCACCATCCCCTGCTCACACAAATGAGAGGATGCACAGAAATGGCTAAAACACAAAATAATCAGAGCGAGGTAAGAAGCAGCACCATGTTTTCAGTTTTCAATCCCCTGTTTGTTTGTGACTCTAATTAGTTCCTTGGAACATTCCCCTAAAAATGCATCATTTTATTTATTGGCCCATCAGCGATGTAAATATGCAGTTTTTTATGTCCAAACAGGATGGATGTGCTCAGATAAAAAAGAAAGCTTGAAGAGCAGCTGCAGGCAATTTATTCTGAAAAGCAACCCTATTTTAAAGCTGTCACGCATCACAAAAACCTTTAAAGTGAACTTTTCAAACAGAGGAAAATCCATTTTCTTTTCTGTCAGAAGATGCATGGATAGCATTCTTTTTTATGATATTAAAGAAAACACACATAATGAAAGAGAAGCTGAATTAACACCACTTATTAGAAAATCTGCTTGCTTTCTTGGAGACACTGTATCTATTAAATTTATTCTCTGATACCTTACTTAAAAATGATTCATGATGACATGAGATAAGAGCACAAATCAAAGGTCAGAAAAAATCTAAACAGGGAGGGGATCATATCGAGTATTAAAAGAGAGGCAGCTTTAATAACTCTTCAAACCATGAAAAGTAAGTTTCAGTAGTTGACCCAGAACAACACGGGTTTGAATTGCACAGGTTCTTATATGAGGATTTTTTTCGATAAGTACAGGATGGCACTGTAAATGTATTTTCTCTATGATTTTCTTAATAACATTTTCTTTTCTCTAGCTTACATTATTGTAAGAATACAATATATAATACATAAAACATACAAAATATGTGTTAATTGACGGTTTCTGTTATTATAAGCCTTCCAGTCAACAGTAGGCAATTGGTAGTTAAATTTTGGGAGAGTCAAGAGTTATATTTGGATTTTCAACTGTGGGGGGTGGGGAGGGTTGGTGTTCCTAACCCTCCTGTTGTTCAAGGGTCAACTGTGTTGTATTTTAAAAAGTCAACTAACAACAAAAAGCCCTTCCAAAATAAACAGAACACCACTGCATTTTTTTACTTGATTGTTTGATCTAATTTCCATGTTAAGCTATTTTGTCATTTAGTTTATAGGCAAATATCTTCTCTCTAAATGTCATAATCTCTAGAGACACCACTTACGCCTTAGAGCTTGACATTAATAATAATGACCCAGAGCCACTAAATGAAGTTAAATGAGATCCAGGTTGCTTTGTTAACTCACAGAGGATGAATTTATTTTAGAAATCTCTGTCAAAATGGTTCTCATCAATGGAGCAGGCCCGGGAGTGCATACTGGGTGCATCTCTTCCCAAATCCATGGTCAGTGACCTCAAGTTGGGAACTTGACATCAACCATTACAGGAATATGTACAACATGGACATTGGGAAATGCTAAAAATCAGGGTTTTGTTTGTTATGAGAATCTATTGTTAAACGTTACCTGTGCACCACTGAATACAGCACGTAGAAAAGAGTGCTTCTGATTCAGAAAGGTAATGAAAGGAAGTGATCAAATGTGCAATGTAGCATGAACAGAAAGCATCCAGACCTGATGAGCACAGAAGAATGGAGGGCTCAAAGATGGTACCAGCAGAGATGCCATAGCTAAGAAGAGAATGACCGAGACATCTGAAGAATTTGAGGTATAAATGTAGAGAATTCAAGAAAATATAGGCAATAAGACACTCCAGGGAAAGCAAAAAACCAACCAGTCACCCGTGTAAAACAGGAAGCAGTGATCTAAAGAACAATGAAATAATTTCTAAGTGAACCGTAAAGTAGGTAAGACTCTGGAAGCTATAAGAATATGAGGAAAAAGGATATGTTTCTTTTCCTAATAAGATAAAAAATAAATTCAATCAGAATCTTAATAATAATGGAAGGAAAGATAAGAGAGGGAAAGAAAGAAGGAAGGAGGGAAGGGAGGAAGAAAGGGAGGGAGGGAGGAAAGAGGACCAAATCAGTGATGCAAGGAAAGCATGGTTCAAAGATACCAGGCAAATTAGAATGGGGAGTTATTTTGAATGTAAATATGAAGAAGCCATTCAAACATTCTCCTTGAGTGGCAGAGGGATGGGAACCATTGGAACTATTGGAGAGAAATGTAACCCTAGCTCATACTTGGGGCTGCATGAAAAATAGTCCATACTCATTATCATGTAAATGTTGCTTACTGGATTATAGCTTTCAGAATCAAATTGTAGAAAGTTTGAAAGTCTTCATTATGCTTATGGAACAAAATATAAGTGCAATTTGATCATACAAAGCATATTTAACAAGAGTTGGGAAAGGCTTAATGTTCTGTATGTATGGCAATGGGAATGGAGTGTGCTTTAAACTTCTTTCTGCAGGGTCAGGCATTTCCTTTTACCAGGCTCCAAGGTGGGAATATTCCCTATAAATCTATGAATCATTAACTGCAACCCACTTTAACCACACACACCAGTCACTCAAGAA